CCCCCCCCCCCCCCCCCCCCCCCATGCTGCCCTCAACATCCAAACCAGATGTTTGATTAATTGCTCGTCATGAAAAGATTCCTCTTTTACAATGGACCGTGACATTGCCAAATAGGGTAAGACAGTTACATGTGCATTCCCCAGTCGTTAAAAAATTCTTACGGGTAATTCAGAATGGCCTCTAGACGTGTTGGTAGGGACGACCGGGATTCTTTTTTCCACAATGATCTTGTCCGGAGATGCTGCTTGCAGCGGTTGCTGAGAACTGTGGTGATTCATCTTCATCTGAACCACAAAGTGATGCTTTTCACAGGAGGAAGATGCAGGTTATGATGAGTTTCATTCATGGCCATTGACAGTTTGCAGGAAAACAAGGACAGCTGTTGGCTTTCACAGTTGACAACACAGGTTTTGTTCCAGATATTTCACATCTGGCGTAACTATAATTTATTTCTTGTTTTCCAGCCTATGACATAACCTGCATCGTTTCACATTATATCACCACACACTGATATAGTTACTTTGGATAACCTTTTGGCCCTCACATAATGGATTTGCCTCTGAATTGTAAATGAGGACCAACAACATCACACCATGAGTGCACCTTGGTATCCTACAAGAAAAGTGAATGCTTGTATCCTGTTTTCTGGCTGACTTCAACTCCTCTCTCCTTTGTCGTGCTCTTATCTTCTGTTTGTAGAGGGAATGTTTCTGTTCCCGTCATCCATGAAATAAACCAGTCAGATGAAGCAGTATTGTTTCAACTCTTCCAAAGAAAAGTTACCCATGGGCTTTGATAAGATGGAAAAAAAACGAAGATGTTGTCGCAAGAATCTGCTCCTACTTGGAGCCAGCCGCTTCCTGTGTGATGCACTGCATTGAAAGAGCTGTCTGGCACTCAGTGAGCATGTGCTGAGAGGTGAGGGACAGGACCTGGCCTCCTCCTGCTCCTATCGCTCCCTGTTAGCGCTTCTACTCCTCCCGTGCCTCCTGCTAATCACAACCGACAAGGGATACACAGGACTCTGTCTACACCGATAGATAGAAGGAGTCCCGCTGACCTGTAGAGAACATCAGCATCACAGAAATGAGTCCTAATTAGCTCCTTCTCTGTTTTGAAGGTTGCAGCAGGATTTCCATAAATTAATGAAGGACTTGGGGTTGCAAAAGCAAGAGTGTGGCATGATAGAGCATTGTCTATTAGAACGCCCCCGACATCATTGAGATGCTGTGAGAAGACCAGATGTTGAAAAGCTTCAGGGCTAAAGAAAGTCGAGAAACAGACTGATGTGTGTCAGCTTCTTTGTGTTTGCATCAGCAAACGTGAGCGAGATTACATGTGCATGCTTGGCTGTAGATGTCTAAACTGTATATGTGAGAGGGTGTGATCCCATGAGAGCGTTGCATATGAGGGTACACACGTGTGCCTCCTGAACTGTGATGTAATTTTTAGCCCACGGAAGATCTGCATGCTGAAACATTGACGGAGACCTTCCACTGTGACGCAACACACCGTCGGTGACACTTAAAGTGGGATGAATATTTCAATGACCCGGTAGAGTGGGGGCATCAGGAGTCAAGCTGGAGGGCAACCACAAGAATTTCATGGCAAAACAGTTTGCATAAAGAGGTCCATTTCTCTCATCAGCATCTATATTCTTCTCTCTAATTAAAGATCAATTCATGGCAAGACAGTTTAATTAAAGCCCTCAGTTTGGCTCGGCCACCAAAACCACAAATCAAAATGCACCCATTGGGATAAAATATGGCCTTAAATGTTTGTGCTTAAATACACCATGTTTATTCCATTCAGAGTGGAACTCATTGGGAAAATATAGGTCAACTCCATTTGATACAAAAACAGGTTTTGTTGCAGTTTGAATCAAAATGTCAACAACATAAGAATATACGGGTGTGTGTGTATGTGTATATAAATTTTATTTTTTTTACAAAAATATGACATTCAAAAATGTTGAAGAAAAAAGACCAATCTAGACCAAAGTCAGATATAATGAGGCCAACGCCTGCTGGTCTGTCTGGGGAAAGATATGAGGGGTTTCATTGCTGCTGCACTATCTTGCTCCCTGCGTGGAGTCGGAACTCGGGGGTGTGAATGAGCAGAAACTCGCGACTGGTTGGAGAGCTGGTGACAAACAGTCCGGATTGGCACCTCAAAACGCCGAGCAAAAACCTGACGGACGGTCAAACTGCTTAAATTCCTCAGCAGCGTTTATCCTCAAAAGTAAAAGGGAGCCTCTACTTTTTCAGAAGTGGTCAAACAATGGACAGGGAGAGCGCGTTTTATCGCTGAATGCTCACGGAACGTGACTGATGTTTTGTAAAGACTGCCGCTGCTGCACGGACCGGGCCGTGGAGGAGCCACAAAGCGAAGAGAAGGACAGCAGAAGTCAAAGAGACGGCGCTCCACAGAGGAAGGAGGGCAACGCAGGACGCGTGTGTGCAGAGAAGCAGTGCCCTAGATCTGAATAACCTCTGAGTTTCTCTGTCATTCAGGGCTCCGTTCATGCCATTTTCCAACCCGCACCTGGAAAAACAAAGGGAAATGCGTTCAGTGGCAGCACATCTCCATGCGTAAATGGAGCCCCGTCGGCGCGTATTCGCTGCACTTTTTCAGTATAATAAATTACGGTTGTCACTAACTCTTGTCCTGTCCCATGACCACACGGCTATAGATGCATTATAGACTTCCTCATACTTCACATCTACCATGAGTGATGGCGATGCCTGCAGAATCTGACAGTGCCGGTGCGCAGAGCGCTCATGAAAAAAGCATCGGCGCACCGGATCGCAATGGTTATGTGAAAACATGTGTCATCCCACTGTGCAGTGACCGAGATTACGAGTCGTGGGTGAGGCTAATGTTCACAAAAATACGGAGTTCCCAGAGACTCCGGAGTGCGGTGTGTGTGGGGTCGCTCTCTGTTTTTCTCGCTCTGTTGGTCAAATGTGCAGACTGGAGAGCTGAAGCCAGCAGCGCTGACAACAGACCCTCGCATTCATCGTCTCTCCTTCACTTCGTTTCAGGCTGCGCGGCGGAGCTGTCGCAAACTTGCTGGAGTGTTGTTTCCTCTTTGTTCACCCTGGTATGTGCCTTCTTTTGGGTCGGTGTCTACTTAATCCGCTGCGGAGTTCTAATCCAGACCGCCCTCTCCCTCCTAACCTTGTGCCACCTGGGCGAAGCAGCAGCGTGGTCTCTCCTGGACGGGACAGATGAGCAGCTATTTTCATTCACGACAGCAGCCGTGGTCGTGCTCATCTGCGTGGCCACCGGCGCACTCATGGTAGCGCGGCTGAATCAGGGCATATCTGTGGTCGTTTTCATTAGCCTAGTCAGGACTGTCTCACTTTTCTCGCTGCACAAAGTACGAGCCACTTGGAGACCGTACGTAGCGTACCTGGTTGGAGTGCTGGGCATCCTGCTGGCGAGGTATGCTGACAAGCTCCTTCCCAACCAAGGGAGACACAAGGAGGGCTGCACCCCCGTGACTGGAGCTAGGGAAGAGATCCCTGTATTTAAAAGGCGCAGGAGGTCCAGTTCTGTGATAGCCTCAGACATGGCACACAGTCAGTCCAACAGTAAGTCACATCGCCGGACCTCTCTGCCATGCATCCAGAGGGACCAGGTAAGAAGTTTCTGTCCCATTCAACTTTTCTATTTCTGCCTTGTTTTCTTCTTTCCAATGATGAGTTTTGTGTTTGAGGCGAGGTGAAAGGAGGGAGCAGTGGAATGGCAATTAAAAAAAAAGAACTGTTGGCCTTTTATGACTGATTCGAATTATTATGATTATTATTATTATGGCTGTTAATGCATAATATTGAGGGTTGCAGAGTTTTTTTTGAAATGATGTGTGTCACTACCATGTGTAGTGTATCACACAACAACAACAACAACAACAATAAGAAAGAATAAGATTAATCATACAATTGATAATAATAATAATAATAATAATAATAATACTGTAACTAGCTATTATTATGTGTTTACATGTCATGCTCCTGTTTTACATTGCAGTGTGTATTATACAGTTGTGATTTGATCTCTGCTCAGTTGTTTTTCTCTGATCTGCACAGATCCTTTTTGGACTGATCTCTTTTCATATTCTGTGGAGCCACTTGCAGCCATTTGAAGGCAAACATGGAATTATAACACTTTACAATGTTTCTTCTTCTTCTTTGCCTTCTCAGGAACATTGTTATATACAGTAATGCTTCATTAGATGTTTTTTCATTAGAAAATGATACATCGTCACCTACTAAAATGATCAACTAGGCCAAATTTTCCAAAATCTTTTCTCTAAAAACGTTGCACCCATTAGACCAAGGTGGTCATTTATTCATGTATATATACAGTATAGTTTACATTTGGTATTTTGTAGCTGAAGGGAGGCTATTTTAGTAACAGCTTTCAAGTGCTGATGAGAAGGGGAAGCTGAGGACACGATTCCAATGATTCATCTCATCCCTAATTATTTATGTCAAACATTCTCCCCAGATGATCTCTGAGCCACTGCCACAACACTGACAAGTGCATTATTATCTTTCTGTCCTGGACTTTAATACCACTTGCTCCTCATCACTTATCGGGGATTGCAGTCCTTAAACTCCAGGAATGTAGCAGCTGGCTTTTAAACCGCCTGTGATACTGATACACATGCATACCTGTGTTAAAAGGAGGGGAGCTGACTCATATCAGCTCCTCAGCCCTCCTTATGGGAAATCAATGAGCACGCTGAGCATGTGAATTGGAAACAGATTTTTGGAGTGATCAAAGCTCTGGTTGTGACCTGTGAGTGCGGTTAGGTTGGCGAAGAGAGGCTGCACTGTCGGCCCGGCCACTTGAAAGATGCCCTCAGCTCTCAGAGCTGGTTAGCGTTGTAGTGTGCTTGTTTGTGTTTCTTTGTGGTGTTGCTCACACACTCCTGCGTACACAAATCAGATATGAAAAAAATCCTTAGATATTTTACAGTTCACACTTTACTCTGCTTTAGGTTTGATGTCTCAGCTGAAGCTTGTTCGAGTGCCAATCATCATTCATTTGATATTCAGTCGTTGGTTTGCTGCGGTGATGGAGTGAGGATGCATCTTTGTTGTTTTAATGAGTGATGAGTTTGAAAATGTCTGGCTGTATAGTTTGCATTGAAGAGTTACTGTATGGCTGTAAACAAGCATGTGCACAGGTAGCAGATTATTTTACACTCTGTTGTGTTTTAAAGATCAATGTTGCAAGTGATGGAAAGAAACAAATGCTCATAACTTACAAATATATATTTACATACACAACGATAATATTATATTTTGTATGCTTCTCTGTATATATTTGTTGGTGTTGTTGCATTAGATAATAAAGTTATAGTTTTTTTTCTATAATCTCTGTGATTACCCAATAAAAAACAAAGAAGAAAACTGGATATACGTTTAGAAACAAAGAAACATTTTTTACACTTCACAAAGTAATGTTTCTATTATGGTAAGAGCGAACATGGGCATTAGACAACCAAGCTGTAATAAATTCACTATTTCAAAGACACCAAATGTGTAAAAAACAAGAGGATGAATACCATTGCTCTTGGATTCAGACTCCTTTACTTTAAGGACTTCAAGATGGAGTTACTCAGAGAACAATAAAAACAGCCCTAAAATCAAGACGTTAGTCGTAAACAGCTACTATTGATGCAAATGTGACAATTGACACGTTTCTTTTTGTGCTTCAGATTTATTTTTTCCCAATAAAAGGTGAGCAGGATGGAACCACCAAACAAACAAAGTAGACAATATCATGCAAAGATGCTCAACATTTCCAGCATCTCTGACTCTTCTCTGCTCCGTCACCTCGGCCAGACTGGAGCCCTCTGCTGCGTGATGATCTCTATTACATGTCTCTGTTGTGGCGCATAAAGACAGTGCTCTGACATTCTTGATAGTATACGTGAAAGTTAAGAATTCATTGGATTATCTCGAACGAAACCTGAGTGTTCTAGCGTTTGCTCTCATCTTTGGTGGCGGTGCTAAGCAGTTGAGCAGTCATGGCCTTCCTGTAATTGAGACACACATGGCGGACATATGCTGTCTTAACCGTGTCTTGTCTGTGTGGTCTGTAATGTGTAAACAAGCCCATGCTGACCCACACTAGTCATCACCTCGCTCACACGGGGCTCTGGCCTCCCTAAGGGGGGTCGACACACGTTTGGGGGCCACCATGCAACCACCACATGGTGACTGGAGCAGCGCAGCATAACGTGTCGAACTGACTCTGCTTGGAGGCCAAAATGTAGGCTAACTGCATGGCAGTATTTTGGCCAAAATTTCCCAAGTACCGCTTCTCAGTGAGATGATCTAAAGCGGCTGAATGACGTTTGTGTTTCTGCTGTGTTCAACAGAGTTACGATGTTTTAAAGAAGCTGTAAGAGCGCCGTGACAAGGAGTAGATCTGCACTTTGTTGACGTGACAATGTTTGCATTAGTGCTGTCCGCCTGAAGTGTGTGAAGAATAGTGCGAGGCTGGAGGAAGGATTACAGTTGATACTTAACTTTTTTCTTCTAAGGAAGCTTCTCCCGCAGACCTTCGAGTCTTATATAAAGGCCCTTCAGATTGATAGTCACTGTGTAAAAACAGTTTATTCAGAAAATAAATAGAGCAAAGAGGAATCCTTCTGTCTCCTCTTCCTCACAGGCCTTAAAGCTGCCATGTTGCCCTCCGCCGCTCTGCCAGAAGCATGCTCCGAGGCTATGCTTCACTCTGCACAACTGTAGATTTAATAAACAGACATTTTCCCTCCTTTTGATTACAAATTGGCTGCCAGCATCTATCAGCTCACTTAGTCGGTGCATTTCGCAACGCTGGGGTCGTCCTTCCCATCATGATAATAAAAGAAAGTAATTATCAGCTGATCTGATAGTGGTTAGTGGGGGCCTCTGTGGGATAGTTCTTCTTGGGTTAATACAAAATGACAGGCCGGTCTTCTGTATTTCAGCTGGCGATATTGAACTGGAGGAAGAGGTGTGGATCGCTTTTCACAGTGTGTCAGGAAATTTGAGTCCGAGGCTCTCCCGCTGCAGACATCAGCACTGTCATAGAAATTCCTCTCCTCTCCTGCAGAGGAAAGCAGTCTGCCATGTTACCAACACACATCGAATGTTTTTAACTGAACCTACCTGAGCGGCAGAGCTGATTAGCCAGGAAGGGGAGTAGACATGAGCAAGACACTTCTGCTTTTTAGGAGGTGTTTCGAAGCCACTCCCTTTTCTGTCAGTAACTCCATCCCTCTCCACAGCCCTCGACTCTCTGTCCTCTCACTGACACCAACACAAATATTATCCCACCAGAGGAAGATATTCTTTCCTAACTTGGATGATAAAGATATTCTTGAAATCTATGGTAATGACTTCCTGTGGAATTGGATCCAAACACAATTACTGTTGCTGTTGTAAATGTTTCCTGTTACTCTATTTTTGCTGCACCGTCCATAATTGAATTGTGTTTTGGATGGAGGAGGTTGTTGATAGCCTGTAGGGCAGAGATTTACCACTGGGCCACTGCACACTCTCATCCCAAACAGCTTGTTTGTATTCCAAACACATAGCCTCGTGGGATGTGATGTTTTTTTTTTTTTTTCTTTTTTTGACTGGACTGGCCTCTGGGTTAGAAACGGTCTCATTGAGCCTCCCCCTACGTTTGGAAAGGAAGCTGATAGCAGCATGGGGCTGTGTGTCTTGTGATTGGGCGATCCAGTTCACACTTTCAATCCCCGTTCAGTCTCAATCTGCTGCGCTGTGCGTGTGTGAGGAGGCAAAGGGTGGAGGTACTGGGATAGGAATGAAAGTAGGTCATTCAAGGTTTTGTCCAGTGGCCCCCCCCCCACACACACACACACACAATATGGTGGAAGAGAGGGTTTAAACCAAAAGTGAGAGCACCTGAATCTATTGGCATAAATGTGATACAGTGTTAATAAGTATGTTTTCTTTAGTGTATGATCACATGAAATAATAATCACTGTGTTTTCGAAGCATTAGAATGAGCGCTTCATAGCTACATAACGAGCGGATCCTCTTCACGGAGTCCGCCATGTTTCTACAGTAGCCCAGAGCGGACAAACCAAACACTGCCTAGAGAGGGACATTCTTATTTTCAAACTTTTGCCTCGACCACAGTAGTTCTGCTACATGCTTGGCACACGAGAGGAGATTTAGTTGGTTGCAATCTGCAACCACACCGCTAGAAGTCGCCAAACCCTACACACTGCACACTGTAAAACTGAAACATGCCATTTTCGCTAAACTCTGATAAATGTTTACAACTAACACTTTGTGTTATAATTTTACTATTACCCTCTCTTCCCAAAAAGTCTAAGTGGGCCTGTTTAAATGAATAGTTTAACATTTTGGGAAATATTGTCATTAACTTTCTTGCAGTGAGTCAGATGAGAAGTTTAATGTACGAAATCTCATGTCTGTAGTAAATATGAAGAAACAGCTAGTGGTTTATTCGCTTAGCTTTGCATAAAGATTTGAAACAGCTAGCCTAAATTGTAGAACTAAACCTGTATGATCATCTAAGGAACCCCATTTGAACTCCTTTTAGTGAGTTTGCTGTGTTCCTAGATCTCAACCATTAACCGTGTGA